CCAAGGCTTCTCAAGACGAAAAGAAATGTAAGGTAAGCCAAGAGGAGCAGTAGGAGATAGCGGATCTGATTTTTCTTCAAATAAAGGTATCAAATCTTTAAAGGAAGCTGCACTCAATAACTTAGCATATTCTTTTTCATATTCAAGTAAAAGTTGGTTAATCTCATCATCATTCTTAGCAAATTCAATAATGAGTTTCTTCAATAGCTTGTAATTGAGATAACCAATAAAATCAAAATCACTTAGAAAATCAAAAAAGCTTTCAAAATCATTAACCTTCTTGAGAATATTAACACAGGACATTAACTTGGGAGCAACACTAGCTTTTCTTTTTAAATATTCCTTTATCAAAAACTTTGCATCTTCTATATTAATGCAATTGCTTTTAAGTGACTTTTTCACTGCAAGAACAAGCGAAACATATTTTCCATGTAATTCATTAACAATGTCTCGCAAAGTAGGAACTTGATCAATTCTTTGCTGAAAATTACGGACACCTACAACAATACATAAGCTATAGTTACTATATAATAAAAAATGTCAAAACAAAAATTGAACCTGTGACCTTGTGATAAAAGACTGCACTTCAAAAGTTAGGTTATTTGGAACAATCTAAACAACTGGGCTATATATACAGCCATAATATTTTAGGGATGCATGTTTATTTGAGCTGGGCTTGTAATCAGGCAATACGGTATATATTTCAATTCATAATATTTTAGAGCAAGCAAGTAAAGATTGCATCTCCTCTACAACATGCACCATCTATAACAGACAATGCTACTGGCTCACTTTCAGCTGTAGACAATGTTTGGGGTGTGGCTAATGAAACTTAACTTCTTGTAGATCTAAGTAAAATAAAAGCAATTATTAATAAAACGGTGATTATTTAAAGCAAACCACATCTCACTTTGTCTTTCTCCATTAATACCATCAGCTACATCAGCATTCTCTCCTATTCCTCTAAGAGCAGCTATCAGTGTATCTATTGTTGGATCCTCCACACCATCAGCTTTACGCAACCAGCTAGCCAAACACTCTGTAAAACAAAGATCAACTTCTCCATGGTCTTTCTTCATTTTCTCTAGTGTATTGTGAGACAATTCAGTTAAGACGCAGACCAAGTTGATGATATGATGTCTTGCTGTAGTGATGCTTCTCAAGTAATGCAATCACTTCATTAAGATCACTAATGTCTATAGCAATCATAATTATTACAATAAAATCACCATCATTATAATTCTACACTCACTTAAAGTCCTTCCACTAAAAATAGGTTCAAAAACTGATTCAGCCATTTAGAGTTGAATATAGGAGGGGCTAACACACCTTCAAATGACGTGGGCGTAAATAATGCAAATTCAAAAATAAAATATTTACTGTTAGTAGCTATTCAGCTGAGCCTATTCACTAAAATAATGCATAGCACAGTATCATCACATTTCTGTATGAATATTAATTTGTCCACACTAGACAGTTATTACAAAGAAGAAGAGAGTCTGATAAAAGCTCTTATCCATTCAACAATGAGCAGGAGAGGATGCGTGACAGTGCTTACAATCACAAAGTGTGTAATCTCATTGGGATATTTGGATCATTACTTATAGCACACTTGGTATCACTCATAGGGGTAGGAACAAACTAAAAGTTGGGGGGGCTAAGGTATCATTTTTACAATTGATCATTAATACATAGCATGTACTGAAATTAATACTGTCCAAAATATTGGCGTCTATGCTCATTAAATGTAACAAATTCCTTTGCAATGTCCTCGATGTGTAAATCATCTGTATATTCTTTGTGTGTATGCAAAATAACTACATGATCAAGACATTGTGGAGCGCAAGTAGTTTTTAATCTCCTTAACGTCGAAAATGTATGCTCAGCTGAAGCTGATGTTGACAGAGTTGTTAAATAAAGAAGTTGAAGCTTGTGTATTTTTGAAAAAACTAATAAAAGTGTGTTCTTAGAAGCTAAGCTAGTGTATTAATTGTTTTACAAAACGAATCATCACACAATATGCACACATATAAGGATTACCTAAACTAAAGTCTATAGTGTTGATAATAGTAATGCATGTACATCACTTAAAGTTGGAGGGGCTAAGTCCCCCTTCAATGAAAGTTGGGGGGGGGGGCTTAAGCCCCTCCTGCCCCCCCTGTTCCTACCCCTATGGTATCACTGTCTCCTTACATTACTGCCAGTATAATAGGATTCATTGTTGGATATGATAATGTTCCTAGTCCAGTGTATGTTACAGCATTGGTATTGTATCTTCTTAATACTATTACAATCTCACTGATACAAGCATACTTCAGGCCTGAGCTAAGGAAGATATTAATGAGGATTTGGTATGTGATGAGTTTTTGTGGTGGAAAATCAGAAGATGATGGAATGAAAAGTAACACAGTACCCTCACCAAATGCATCTACCAACACTAATGCAACAAAATTTAATAATACTGTTGATGATAGCAAGAGTCCAATGATGATAGTAATAATACTTAACAGTAAACTTCAGTTGTGAACATGAAGAATTATTATTGTCATAAGTTGTAATCATAATAAATTTAGTAAAAAAAACAATACCTAAAATAACAAATAATATTGAAAGTAGCAAAAATTAAATTAGTGCCGAAAAATATTAAATTAAAATTAGCTGTTTTGACTTTCCTATTGCCCTTGACAAGTTATAGAATATCATTTTACTTCTTGTCCCTGTTTAAAGTATATAATGTGTATAATTTATATGAATCATTACCTTTACTGCAGTACTATAATACTCTTGTCAGGCCTGTATGTACTTTCTTTAGTCTGTATTAAAAATGACAGTGTTATAAAAAGTTATAAAACCTATAGTTACTAGGCGAATGTAAAGCATTAAGGGGCGAGCAAAACGATTAACATTTTGATTAGCAATATACAATGTCTATATAGACAATGATGTAGTGGCTATTAAATGTTGAATGTTGATGTCAATACCGGCACTAATGCAGAATTTGCATGGAAAGAATTTTATAGCTTCTAGCTTTGAGTGAAGAATCTCTGCAGTTATATAGATCTAGGATGGAAGATAGTTGGTCTCAGAAGCCAGAAGGAGACTCCATTTGTTGTCTTTGGGTGCGACAAGACCTATTTCTGCGGCATTTCTATTGGACCTCAGTCCTCAGTCGCTCTTTTCTCCTCTTCAGTCTTGCTCCTTCTCACGTTTGTTACGAAGAAGTCGACAAGCTTCAGAGCATCTTCTTGTGAATTACTCATG